CCCCCCCGCCCACCACGGGCATGTTGTTTCTGTGATTCCAACTCGTAAATCGCTATACCGGGCATTTTGTTGTCCAGAAAGTTTGTCACCAATTTACTACCATTATATCTGAAAACAGTTGTGTTGTTTGCTTAATCCCTTCCTACCTGGAATAGTAGGTAGAGGGAGAAGCTTTGGAACACATCTCTAGCCCCAATTAAAGGCTCTTGGTCTATATCTCTTAAACATACGTTTTGTAGATTTTCGAAGAACAATTGACTGTACTAATGATAAATAGTTTCCTCCCATATTTCTTCATTTAGTGTTTTTCTTGAATATTTCTGGTAATTTTATATTTTGAAATAGAACATGTTTTAATAAGTTCATCTGACGATCTCAAATAGATTCATTTAATGATCATTATCATTCCTATAAGAAATATTTACAGGGTTATCTTTAGTTTCTAGACATGAGGAATGATATGTAGTTTCCCTTATTAGTGATGAGAGAGAGAGAGAAATTAGCCGTGATTTCATGGTGTTATCATATTTTGCCCTAAAAGATATAAGTCTCGTGAGTTTATGGGAATGAGTAATACTATTATGAATTAAAAAATTGATCTAATTTGTTGACATAATGATATGTCAATAATATTATTAGATGCACGTCACTGTTATATTATTATGTTAGAAAATCAAATCAATTTTTTAAATTTTAATGGCATTACTCGGAAGAGATTTAATACAAATTGAATTCCTTACAGAGGAGGAAAATCCAAAACACAAAGTAATTAACGAGTTTAAATTATTTTTTCTACCTTCTGTCTAATAAAAACATGACACATACAAAATTATTTTATTTTATTATTTTTATAATCAATGATCGGAAGAGTTAGGTAACTACCAAAAAAACTATGGCTATTATATTGAAAAATGAATACTAGTTGGATATTTTATAGTAGTTTATTTATGATAATTGACCTTAAAAATAATAAAATAAAATAATGTAACTAAGTATATAATATTTTATTTGTGTCATATTTCCATTGGTCAAAAATAAGAAGTGCGATAATGACATAATTTTGAATACACCTTCAATGAGCATAAATGTAGCAAATATTAAAATATATAATATAAAATAAGATACGTTAAGTATCCATTTCAAAACTATTTAAATTAAATTCTCTATCCTTTAAATTTATCATTTCTCATTTATGTTGCATTATGATTTCAGAAATGAATTATCTTTAATAAGATATAAAGATGATCGAGTGATTGGTTTAGTAGGTAATAATTCAAATTCTTTTATTCAATGTTTTAGTTTGTGTTTATATAATTATGATAATTAAGTGGGGTTAAACATAATCTTTAACGTTTAGAGTATCTATTGAGATATGATGATGTTTGCCGGCCTCACTTGATCCAACGATTCCATAGCGAAAAAACAGTCACAGATGAGCATGCCTGGCATGTTAATTCCGTGCACTGTCACTCACTTTATTATCTACGCACTGTTTTTATTTTATTTTTTATTTTAACGGTCAGAAATGTTTCGAATAATTTATGCTGTGTTTTGAGTAATTTTTTTTTTAATTCAGTCAAAAATAAGTCATTAACACTTAAATTAAAATATTTATTAAAAATAAATTATTTTTAATAAATTATTAAGAATTAAACTTAAAACGTTAGAATTTATCACCCGTCCGATGCAATTTGGATTACCCAATTTTGCACTACTGTTGCTTCTGGCTGTATGCATTATGCTATGCGTAGGATATATCTAATAAGGCCGGCAATGTCCTTACTTTATCTGACTACACCCATGTGGTGGTCAGTGAGTTGGGCCACCACGCCCCACCACTTTCCCCAGCTTTTCAGCTTCTTACCTTTCACTTTTTCTTTCGATTTCCGGGAAAGTAGTCATTCATTCCCAAATTATCCCACCACCCAAACACCCACTTGTCTTACATCACCTCATCGCCCACTTTTACGTATCACGACGCCAAGTGATATTATTATTTAATAGAAAAAATCTAAAATAAATAAATGAACCTCACTTTTTTCAAAATGAGTAATTATTATTTTACACATGGGGTAGTTAATTAGTTATTAATTAGAGTTCACTTATTAATTGTTAGTAAATGATGAGACTATGGGACAATAATAATGTGATAAATCTAATTAAGTCTTATGTCTCAATCATTTAAAGTCGATTATATGAGTTTGTCTTAAACAAGTTTCATTGAATTTTGACAAGAATTTTAATTTATTTTTCAACTTTTAATTGTTTGGATTTAATCGTTTAAGTTATGTGACATGTATAATTATTTATTTTTTTTTGTTTTATCTCTATAATAAAATAACTTATAATTTGAATTTCAAAAGATAAATAAAATAATTTTTATTTTTCGTGGTTCAGATCATTTTAAATTTTATTTTAAAATTAATCTAACTGTTAATATTAACACTCTAAATTTAATAGAAAAAATAGGGTTTTAAATGTGTGTTTGGAGTGACTTTTTAAAAGTATTAATAGAAATTATTTTTCGTAAATATTTTAAAAAAAAATAGTGTTTGAAACTGTCTTACCACTACTTCCACCACCACCACCATCACCATCACCACCATTATCACTACCACTACTATTACCACCATCGTCGCCATTGTTGCCGCCGTCATCGTCGTCGCCACCACCGCAACCACTGTCACCACCACTGTCGTTGTCGCCACCACCACTACCACCGACGTCATCACCGCCGTTGCCACTACTACTTTCGCCGTCGTCGCCATGATCATTGTCATTCATCACAATCATTACCATCTCCTACTACTACTATTGTTGTCCACCATTTCTTACCTTCCTACTACAAACCGACGCTTAAATTTATTTATCTCTCCTCTATATTTGTAATTTGATTTTGTATTCGAATACTAATATATTTATTATTTACTATTTTTTATTACTATGTGCATTCGGGCTGAGACATTAAATAGTACTCTTATAAAACTAATCAGTGTTGAATTGAACTTTGATTATATCATGAGAGTGTATTCAGTTAGTTTTACTGATTAATTTTTGACCTTTATAGCTATTATTTATTGATTAATAAAAATGACGTCATTTTCACTCTTCTTCAGAGGTTGAAAGTCAAAAAGTCTCTAAGAGTAGTAGATTAAAACAAATTTGGTGAATTTTGTATAATTATATAATTTGATGAAATTGAGACAAATAAAATTTGAGGGTACTTTTTGATCTTGGAGAATAGTTTGGGGGACATATGTGATATTTACGCATACGACAATACTGGTATGCTTTACAGACAACCTTACCCTATAATGTTCCGCCACGTCACCCATCTTCCTCCTCCTTCAACCTAAACTTTATCATCACATCACCACCAAACTTTACTTTGCTCACTCTCCCTCCTCACTTTCTCTCTCCAGAACTCTCTAGGTTTTCATTACCTCTCTCTCACTCAATTTGAAAGTTGAAGTGAGTTGGCTCAGCTTTCATCATGGGATCAATCGCCGATCCCGGCGAGTTGACTCAGCCGAGCTTCGACGAGTTCCAGAGACAAACCTCTCTCATGACCAGCTGTACTCTTCTCTGGAAGGAACTCTCCGACCACTTCACTTCTCTAGAACAAGACCTCCAGAAGAAGTTCAAAGCCGTCAAAGCCAAGCTTGAAACCCTAGACACTGAAACCAAACACTCCCTCCTAGTCCTTGAGAATCGCGAGACCACCATCAACAATTCCATCGAAATCGCCCTCGGAAAAGTCAAAGGAAACAAAGAAATCGCCATCAATTCGCAGAACGACACCGTTCCGGAACCCGAGGTTGACGATTCCGATGGCTTGCTAATGAAATTGAAGTCGTTCTGTGTGAAAATGGATTCTCTAGGGTTTTGGAAATTTGTGGTTGTTCGGAAGAAGGAATTGGATATAATGAGAACGAAAATGCCTGTGGCGCTTGGGGATTGTGTGGATCCGGCGAGGTTTGTGTTGGAGGCTATCTCGGAGGTGTTTCCGGTGGATAAGAGGGAGGTGAAGATCAAGAGAGTGAATGATTTGGGGTGGGCTTGTGTGTTGTTGTTGGAGTCGTTGATTCCGGTGATGGTGGATCCGATACTGGGGAGTGAGAGGATGTTGGTGACGCCGAGCGTGAAGGAAAGGGCTAAGGAGATTGCTGAGACATGGAAGAAGAGCTTGGAGGAAATGGGAGGGATTGAGAATGTGAAGACGCCGGATGTTCATACGTTTCTGCAACACTTGGTCACCTTTGGGATTGTTAAGAAAGAGGATGTGGAGTTGTACAGGAAGCTTGTTGTTGGATCAGCTTGGAGGAAACAAATGCCCAAGCTTGCGGTTTCTCTGGGTTTGGGTGATAAAATGCCTGGTATGTTTCCATTTTTGTTGATTTGTTTTTTGCTTGATAAAGGTTTTGTTGTTAGTAGCTTGTATTTGGAACATCATAGAAGACTAGAAAAAGAACACTGATGATATGATACATTTAAGGATGTGGATTTGCATACGCCATGCAACACATGATTTGAGAACTATTTTTCCAAGTTTAATAGAAGGGGATTGTAGGAAAACCACCACTGCCAAAGGTTTGAGGACTATTAAATTGATTGGGATTGCATCTCGATGAGAACATTGGGTTAATTAATGTTAACAAGGTAGATTCAGATTCTTTAGTTTAATTAGACACACATATTTTGATTGCCTTTTTGTTCTATGAACGAAAGGTTTTAATGCTTAAATGGAAAAATAAACTAGATGACCGATTATTCTGTAATGAATTTTACTATGGAGTAATGCATATGGCCATTCAATGAGCTTGCTTATTTAATTGATGGCTCAATGTGGAGAGTTTTGTAGAATCTATGGAGTTAATTATAATTTTGTTTTTGTGGGAACTTGTATCAAGAGGGTTTACAAGGTTGTCTCTTCTTCTTGATATGTTGAGGCTATGCATAAGGATGTCCGACCTTTTCTTGTCCATATATTTTTGGGCTCGGTTCATACTTTGCTTGGCTTGGAGACTTGACTATTTAAAACAGAAATGCATATCATTGTTCACCTGATTATCGAACCGTATTGTTACAATGTTATGCTTAACCAGCTAGCGTGCATGGGTTCGTGCGTGAATATTTATTCTAGTTTGAATTGTTGGTGTTTTGTACCTAACTATTCATTTCCTTTTTTATTGTTCATACAAACAATTAAACAACCAAAACTTGAAGGCATTTAGTACTTTATTCTCGTACGTTGAGAAAATCATTGTATATGATGGTGCAATATATTTTTGTCATTATATTTGGTCTTTATCAGTACAAATATTCACTTTACCACTTACTCTTGGGACAATTCAAGTGCTCCTCCATAATATACTCGGCCTTAAGATAGAAGTCTTCAACAAAATAAGTTGACATATAGTATGAGCAGTAGCTTTGCATTTTGTTTGTCCTATATTGGCGCCAATGTTTGTCCCCTTGATATCGACATGTAAGAGATACCCTATTCATGCTTATGTACTATGGTTTTTATCATATGTCCTGTCTTTTTTATTACTTGGATGTACATGCAGGGGTATACCTCTTTCAATTCTGTGAATCTCTTTTTCGGTTGAATGATAAATATCTTACTTACTGGAAAAAGGTAGTTTGACTGGTTATATACACTCATTTGCAGATATGATTGAAGAATTAATAAGCAGGGGACAGCAGGTTGATGCTGTGCATTTTACTTATGAAGTTGGCCTTGTGAAGAAGTTCCCCTCCGTCCCCCTGCTGAAAGCTTTTCTGAAGGATGCGAAAAAGGCCGCAACTTCTATTTTGGAGGATCCCAACAATTCTGGCCGTGCTGCGGTATCTTTTTATTTCATTCTTCTGGAATAGTATGGCATCCTTTTATCCATCCTTATGGTAGCATTATGTTTAATATAACATTTTACTAATAATTAAATATCCTCACCCATATTTTACATTTGTGGTTGGGTTAGATGTGATATGCTTCCTTCATGTCTTGCTGTCCTGCTTCCATCTTGTCCTGTTGGCGTCCAGCTTCAGTTGTTCTTGAGTGTTGTACTAGTATGTCTTGTTCTTAATCTTCGTGCAAGTTGTATGTTGTATTGCATCAAACCCAGATTTGCTATTTTTTGAGAAACATGGCAAAAAATATGAATTGTCAGTTTGATTCACGGGCAGTAAAATTCTACTACAATGGGAGAGACAAATGTCATCCCATAACTTTAATTATATTGTTGAAGTGTAACATTTTTATTGTTTTTCAGCCGCATCAATTTTGTCTATCGGAAGCTCTTGCATCTGTTATTAGTGATTCTTTTTTATTATCATATGTCGACTAGTTCTCTTTGATTAAAATGGCAAACAATCTCTGAAGGTGGCTTTTTTTTCCCCATATCTTTTTTTTTTTTTTTTTTTTTTTTTTTTTCCGGGTATTTTATAGCACCTAGCCGCAAAGAAAGAGCAGTCAGCACTTCGGGCTGTTATCAAGTGCATTGAAGAGTACAAACTTGAGGCTGAGTTCCCCCCAGAAAACCTGAAGAAGCGCTGTGAACAATTAGAGAAGGTCAAGAATGAGAAGAAAAGACCTGCTGCAGTCCCTGCCAGTAAACGAACACGAGCCAACAATGGTGGCCCCATGCCTCCCGCCAAGGCTGGTCGCTCGACAAATGCTTATGTCTCATCTTTCCCTGCAGCACCTACATTCGTCAGGTCGCCCTCGCACACTCAATACCCTACTGGGATTCCACCATATGCAACACCACCTGCAATGTATGGCCATGGCAGCAGGAGCCCACCATCTAATCCCTATGTTTATTCTCCAGAAGCAGCCCCTCCTGTCACTGCTGGATCATTTCTGGGAGCTCCAATGAACTATCCTGCATATGGAGGGTATGGCAATTACATGGCACCAGCTTATCAGCAAGCTTACTACAGATAGATGACTGGTCCTTGACAATGGTAACAACTGATATGATGACCCCAATCTGAAATATTTTCTAAATGTTTTGTAATCACTAACCTTTTAATGGTAGCAATATGTGTGTGTGTTAATCCTTAATTCTGATCCTTGCCCTGCTTCTTGCTTCGTCAAGAACAGGTTGTATTTCTGATGTTGATTAAACTTGTAGTACTAGGTGATTGTGAAATGTAGTTAAGGAAGTTACTGAACAAACAACTCTGTAGAAATGGTAATGCCATGTTGTAGGAAAGCTGTTTTACTGCTGATTTGTTGTTTTCCATCTATTTTGGATCACAAAATTGGGTTCTAGTCGAGATTGAGGATGCCATCTCTGTTACCAGGAATGGCAAACATTGTGTTGCTGGTTCTTCATGTTTTACAGGTGTAAATATGGCGTTCCAGTATACAACTGGGCAATATGCATTTTGCTTGTAAGAGCCGCACTGAGTATGGTATCTACATCCTTTGAGTTAGAACGGGATGGGTACTTGTTTTGACGAGAAGTTTATTCAGGAGAGCATAAAAACTTAGTAAAATTGCTGAAATTGAACAACCATGAGTATGGAAACTCATCTTGTGAGCATGTTTTTGGTGTATTTTGATGCAATATCATATCAAAGTTTGGCTTGGGGTACACAGGCCAAAATTCCCCAAAGCTCTCCAATATTTGTTGTTTATGTTGAACTGAATTTTTTTTTGGTCAAGATGAATTGAATTCTAAGTTCGAACTTTTTAAGTATTGTTGTTGTGGATCACCCGATGTTGGGTATTGCATGTGTTTTGACGCTTTGCTTTTGAGAACTATGTCACAAACAAGCAAAAACGCTACTTTTGATTCTACACCTGTATGGTTGTGAACCGTCATCTATTTACCACCAGTACACTGAGCCATCATCTATTTACCAAACGCTCAAGAGTTTCCATTGCTTAAACAGTCCCACCCCCCACCCCCCCCTCCGGCGGCCATCTCTCTCTCTCTCTCCTCCCCCCCCCAAATAACAACAACACCACAGACACCCTCCTGTGATGGTATTCCAGGCTACGAGCCTGTAATGGGCCTGCCAAGTGACGAGCCAGACCGACCATTGCCTGATGGGGGTGTGGTTGTTTTGTGGGGCTGCTTGTAGGGGTGTAAACGATCCAAACTTTTCGGATACAGATGAATTATGTTTGAATAATTGTTTAGACTCGTTTATTAAACTAGTTTTACAAATTCGACTTATTTTGAGTTTAAATTGAAAAGTTTGGTTTATTTATATGTGAAATAGTGAACTCGAATAGAAAATAAGTCGAGTTTGAATATTTTTTAAATTGATTTGAAAAAATGAGCTTGTTAGATTTGGACTCGAATTCATTTGATCGGTTTACCATTTGGTCGGTTCGTTTACCAGCCGTAGATGCTTGTGTTTAGGGGGTGGGGGGGAGTTGAATAAAGAGTTGTGGGGCTGAAATATAATAACTAAAACATGTGGGCTAGTATAGGGGCTTTTTGTACATTTCAAAATTCTTACTTTATATTTTCAAAAATTAATTTTTTTATATTACATTTTAAATACATCAAAAACGTTGGAATGTAGCCCTTGCAACCCCATTATTAATTTTTGTTATTTTTTTTATCAAGTTAATAAAAAGGGTCACAATATAATATTTTTAATATATAAAAAATATAATAAAAAAAATTTAGTCAAATGTGAGTAAAATAAAAATATTAAAATCTTTTAAAGGTATAAAGTGAAATTCGCCCGGTACAATTATTATTCGATTGCTAAAAACTATGAAATACAGGACAAGCCCTTGTCTCACGTTCTGACTCTCAGTTGGCACCCCAAACCTCAACAGAAATCGTCACCACAGTCCCTCACTCTCCCTTCACTGCGAGCGCCGTCGCCGGTCACCACAGCCGCCGTCGTAGTTCCGAAGACTTCCAGGTAAGCCCTTTTCCTTCGCTCTTTCATCTTAGCCTCCTTTTTTTTTATTTCCTATTCTTCTCCTCTTCCTTTTATAGTCAAAACCCTCATCTAAACCCACCACGGCCTGCCACTGATCCAATCGACCACCACTGGTGACCCCCTACTACCCCCAAAACACTACCGACGGTCTTCCTACAACTCCACCTTGAATCACCCGAACCCACGCCCCACCACCATCACCACTGCCGCATTGGAACCACAACCACCCATAAATCGCCACCCACTCCAGGTAGCCGCTGGATGTTGATAGTTTGTATTAATTTTCTGCAATTGCTTTCGGACCAAAAGTATGAAAAATTTGGATTGAAATTGTAGATGATTGATTTTGCAAGTGGGTTTTGTTTAGTTTGTGTTTGAATAGATAGGATTTGAATGAAATTGGGCAATGTTGCCATTTGTTGACTGAAATTGGAAAGGAATGTGCTTGGTTGATGAACTGGAAATTGAATTTGCTAGGAGGATTTGCAGTTATCGATTTGAATGGAGGTCGTGTATGAGTTTGATGTTTTATTTCTTCTTCTTGTTCAGGGATGTATATATGTGTGTGTGTGTGTGTTAATGTTCAATGGGTGTGTATTTGTGTTGTGAGTTTGTCCCCCCCCTGTGTATGTTATTATTCTCTCTGCGTTAGGATCATGGGCTTGAAGTGTGGATATTATTAATTGGGCATCGTTCCCTTACCAGTCGTGCTTTCAGTAGTGAGTTCTACCTATATGTTCATATCCTTTTGCTATTAAAACGTAGTACCTTGCAAGTTGATTTTCAAGTGAGTTCTCGATAGGAATCGGATTATATTTCGTTATAGTAGGCGTAAGTGTAGGGATTAAGAGTTATTTGTCATTTTGCTTTTCAGGGGTTTAGTTGTCATTATGACTATTTATTTCTTTTCGACTATTTATTTCTTTTCGAGTTCTTTTATGATTTGTGGTCTTCTTATATATATATATATATATTGGTGATATGTTATTTGTTTTGGTAGACTTTGATTATTGACTATTGATATTGAATTTTCTTCTTAAAATTCTCTCTATCCTCATCCCCTTCTTCTTTTCTCATCCCGTTTTTCTTCCCTTTTCATCTCTAACTCTACCCTAATGCGATCTACATCAATTTGGTATCAGAGCCCAACTTCAATTCGTACGAACCACAAAAAAAAAAAAAAAATCTCAGCAACACTGTTCATCGAAAAAAAAAAAATTGGTCATCGGTACTGTACATCAAATAGGGACTAGAAGGCTTAAAAGACCTTCAAACAAGTATGAATAAGTTGTAAGGAATCAACTAATAGAAGCAACTGCTTTTGCAATAAGAAATAAGATAATGGGATTTGGTACTGTTAATTTCGCCCATGATTTAATAAGGTTTTACGATCTAATCACTGGAACAGATATGGAAATACAAATGTAGGAATTGAACCCCTCCCAACCCAAAAATAAATAAAAAATGAAAAAATAAAGAGTTGGTATACATATTTCACTATGAGGAATAGATCTGAATTGCATCTTTGTAATCATCTCTAAGTTCTGTATTATATTGTCTGCAATCAAAACATGAAATGGGTTGTTAGGAATTTGAAAGGACAAAAATGACTGATTTATTTTAATAGTGTTCATGAATTTTGTTAATAATAAAAAGGATTTAGTACAAAATGAGAGCAAAGGTGGACAAGCTTTCCAGCCAGATTGCAAAACAACAAAAATGCACTACATAGAACCAGAAAAGCAAAATTTATGGTGATTTTAACAATCACAAGCAGCAGTCCAGTTTGCCAAGATTCTAAACAAATTTTCAGGTTCCTGTTCTTCCCATGTTATTATTAGGGATTTTTGGTGTAAAAGATTGCTTGTTATGGATCACATTTGGGCTCCATTTTCTTGTTTTTATAAATCTTATAGATATCACTCTGTAAGGATTTTCGGTTAAACATCATCCTTCTCTTTAGACAGACTACTTTAGTCTTTGAGGATTCTTAGGATCTGTCTATTTGGAAACCAGCATTACATAAAATGCTTAAGTTAATTGGTAGGATGCAGATTAATAGTTTACAATGTCCTACATATCTCATTTTATTTCATTTTTTTTTGGGCATAATTTGTTGTTAAATATTTGACTTAAAAACCTTGTGGTTTGCATTAAGCCTCTGCAAGTAGTTGAATTCTCAAACTGTAGAAGCATGAGAATGAAGGTTGTCACATCCATTTTCCTTTTACTCTTATAGATCATGGCTGGCAGAGCTGAAGGTGGGGAACCAATGAATGAGCAAGCAGTTGCCAACATGTATGGTGCCATGAGGGCTGAAATGAACCAAATTTACTCAAAAATTACAGAACTAGAGATGGAAGTAAGTGAGCACTCTTTGGTGATCAATGCCATACAACCACTTGATCCATCAAGGCGATGCTACCGGATGATTGGAGGTGTGCTCGTGGAAAGAACCATCAAAGAGGTATTGCCAGCTGTTCAGCGCAATAAGGAGGGGCTTGAAGAGGTAATTGCTCGGCTTAATGAAGCCCTGGAGAAGAAGAAAAAGGAAATTGCTGACTTTGAGGCTAAATATAAAATTAGGATTAGAAAAGGTGATAATGAAGTGAAGGATGAGAGTGGCAGGAAGGAGGGCTCTGCACAGGGAGTCCTTGTTGGTCCAGCTGGTTCACACGAGTAGCTTGATCTTGTGTTATTTAAATTTCTTTCGACGTTGGTTTCTTGAATGTGACTAATGAGAACGTTTTGATTGCATTACGTGTATCTGGATTTTGAGATATAGGTATTTTATCGATCAAAATCAGTCTGAATGTAATGGATATGGATTTCAAGTTTTTGATTACAAATGGTTGAGACCAATTTGATTGCATTACTAGAAGCTGGGCTGCTCAATTCTTGAGCATCTGTTGGACAGGGTCGTTTGAGATGAATTTGTTGTTTTGTTTTGAAGATGCAAGGGTTGTTTTATCTAGTGTTAACAATCTATGATGGGCAAATAGTGTAGGCCGTCAATTGTTGGATCACTCAGTTTAATATTCTCATATATTATCAAGTGTGTCGTCAGGGAGAATGCATAACTGATAGAAACCTTAAAAATCAATGTGAAATGGTACTTGGATTTAATTTGTTAATCATATTTGATGACCGAACCATTCTCTAATCTTATTTGATGACTGAACCATAATCTGCTATTGGATTGATAGGAGATCTTACTACTAGTTGAAAATTTCTTCCAATTTAATGAATTTGATGTATTACGTTAAGAGCAACTCCAACGGGAGTTGCCATCAGGGGTGCCATCTCCATAACCACTAAAATGACACCCCAACTGCAAAAATTGGGACTCCAACGGAAGTGACAAAATGACATCTAGGGTTTTGAGGTGACATATTTGGTAATTTTGAAGAGAGAATAGAGGGGTTGCAAAATAGCCGTTGGTGGTTACTATTCCTCAACGGTTATATTCTACCCAAAATTTCTATAAAAATACATAGAGAGGAAAGGGAAAGGAGACTTGTCTGAAATCAATTTGTGTATTGCTCCCAGAAAGTAGCTTCCTGAATCCTTGCCTTTGATATCGAAATCCTTAGCTTCCCTGACCCTTGCCGTTTGTGTGCTCGCATAGTCCTGTTGTTGTTGTCTGGTCTGGTAAGGAGAAGGGGAAGAAGAGGAAGGGCTATTCTGGTAAGGGAAAGGGGAAGAAGACGACTAATTAAGGGGAAAGATATGAACCGTTTTATTTTAGGAGAAAGGGGAGGAGTTGTAATTTATAATTATATCTGCCCCTTATTCTTGTTTTAATTTATAAGTTCTAGTTTTAATTTATAATTTATAATTACATTTGCCCCCTTATTCTTGTTTTAATTTATAAGTTCTAGTTTAAATTTATAATTTATAATTACATTTGCCCCCTTATTTTTGTTTTAATTTATAAGTTTTTGATTTAATTTATAATTTATAATTATATTTGCCCATGTTCTTGTTTTAATTTATAATTTATAATTACATATGCCCCCGTTCTTGTTTTAATTTATAATTTATAGCAATTTTTTTTTGTTTTAATTAAGGGTAATTTTTTTAATTGATTATTTTATGCTCATTCTTTAAATTGATTATAATTTTTTTTTTGGTAGATGGATTCACAATTTGACGGTTCTTTCACTGATTTGCTTATGAACGACACCGATTTATATGATGATATTATGCAGACCAATCTCATAGTGTTGGCGCCAGTACAAAATGAAGTTGTTCCAAGAGTGAAAAAATCGCAAAAGACAGAGAACTTCTCTGTAGAAGAAGATAAATTAATTGTGTTTGCGTGACATAACACGAGTAAAGATGCAATTATTGAGAATGCATAACAAAGTGGTGCTTTATGGCAAAAAATATTGCAATACTTAGAACTTCATGGAGGCAATCAAGAAGAGCGTTCACAATCTTCTATTAAAAGTTGTTGGACTGATATAAATGCAAAATGTTACAAATTTGTCGATTTTTATAGTCAAATTAAAAGGCTGCGACAAAGTGGACACACCGAGCAAAATAATGTAATGATTAAACTTTTAATTTAGACACTACTATGATTTGATTTTTGAACTATTAACTGAATAATTTCATATTTTTTTCAGGTTGATAACGCAAAAGAAATGTTTGCTAAGATTATTGTAAAACCATTTCCATACGAGCATTGTTGGAATATATTGAAAATGGAGCGGAAATGGACTGATAATCTTACCAACAATAAGAGAGCAAAAACTCATAAGACTGATAGTCCCGCTGAATCAACTTATGTTGAATCTTACTATTCAATTCCATATTTAGGGGATGACACTGAACCCTCATCCAATCCCAACCTCGATAGGCCATTGGGTAGAAAGGTTTCGAAGAAACAATTTAAAAACAAAGAGAAACAAACCGGTGTTGAAGCATCACTAGATCATCACCACTGGAATGAAAGAAAGGAAGTGGAATGACAAAAAATTGAGAGACATGACAAAATTTATGCTCAGTAGGAGACATCATTGGAGCAACATCGTAGACAGTTATAAATTGAAGAAAGACAGGTGCAAGAAATTGAAAGACATAATGAAATGAAAATCATGGGAACTGACACTACTAGCATGAACCCAATTTCTGTAGCATATTGGAACAACATGAAGATAGAGATTATGAAAAAACGGGGCTTTAATTTTTAATCGTTATTTATTATGTTGCTATTATTTTTTAATTTGTAGTCATTATTTATTATGTTGCTATTATTTTTACATTTGTAGTCATTATTTATTATGTCGCTATTATTTATAAAAAATTATGTATTGAAATTGGAATTGAAAGTACAACTTAAAATTGAAATTGAAATTGAAAATACAACATAATATGGTCATTGAAATTGAGAAAATTATCAGTCGCTATGTCGTTCCCACAAATGCTCGATTAGATCTGACTGCAGTTAAGAATGAGTAACACTATCCCTGATTTGACAATGAATAGTCTTCCAATTTTGTTGTTTACGCATGCGACACTTCTACAGGCGGATTTGCATCACTTCCATCAAAGTCATTATTACCAATATCTCCTTCATCCTCAATGACTATATTATGCATTATTATGCACGCTTTCATAATATCTGCAAATATTTTTTCATCCCAAAAGCATGCTGGTTCACGCACAATTGCAAAACGGGCTTGAAGTACTCTAAATGTCCGCTCTACATCTTTTCTTGCCGACTCTTGCGCTTTAGCAAAATATTTTTTCTTCAAACCTTGTGGACAAGAAATTATTTTTACAAATGTCGACCAGTTTGGATAAATACCATCAGCTAGATAATATCTCATTGTATACTCATAACTAATAATTATATAGTTGACTGGAGGAGCATAACCATTTGTTAATAATGCAAAAACAGGAGATCTATCTGGAACATTTATGTCATTCAGCGAATCAGAAAGTCCAAAGAATGCATGTCATATCCAAAGATTTTGAGAAGCCACAGCTTCTAAAATGATTGTTGGTTCATGACAATGACCAGTATACATACCTTGCCACGCGGTAGGACAATTTTTTCACTTCTAATATATGCAATTAATACTCCCTAACATGCCAGGAAAACCACGTTATTCCTTCGTCTGTAGCGATCGAGTAATATCGATATTGTTTGGTGACCTAAAGTAATGGTCGCCAAACACTGCAATAACAACTTTCACAAACCTATTCAGACTTTGTATGACAGTGCTTTCTCTAATTCTGATGTATTCATTCACAGAATCTGTGGGTGTTCCGTAAATAAGAATTCTATAAGCAGCTGTTATCTTTTGAAGGGATGACAAACCGAGAACTTCAACGACATCTGTTGTTTGGATGAAGTATGGATTGTGTTGTTCAACCTCATTTACAATTAGGAGAAAAAGAGGACGATTCATTCGGAACCTCCTTCAGAAAAAACCTTCATATACACAAGGGATAACAAAATAGTCACGATAAAGTCTTTCGTGACCTTTAACTTTACCACAATTAACTATTCTGTGGCCTGAAACTGAACCACGATACCTTCTTATCCGTCTCTGACTAGACCTTTCTAACTTTCTAGTTGCAGCATATAACATATCCAAGTTATCATTATCTTCTTCTTCAATATTGGTGATCTTTCCTAAAATATTAGAATAACGATTCATGTAGCTTGATGAATGAAAACATGAAAAGATAATTAGTCAAAGAGAAATGAGATATTGAATTTATAGAGAGAATGTAAGATAGATGGATGCAAATATGAGAAAAATGATCATATTTATAGACGAGTTATAATTTTTTTAATTTTTATTTTTGCGGTTAAATTTTTAAATTTGAATTTCAACGGTTGAAATTTGAAATTTGAATTTCGGCGGACAAAATTTAAAACTTGAAATTTGAATTGTACGCCAAAATTTGAAATTTAAAATTTGAAAATTTAAATTTTTACTATAAAATTATATCCGTTAAATTGTGATCGTTATGAAAATTATACCCGTTAAAATATAATCGTTAAATTTAATTATATTTTTTAATAAAAAATATTAAAATATTGAAATGACACCCCATTTTAGCACCTACCATTAGAGCAAAAACATTGTTCAGGAGTGCCAAAACAATGTTCAAGGTTGCAAAATGGCAATTGACACCCCATTTTTGGCAACTCTCCTTGAAGTTGCTCTAATTAATAAATAAGACTAACAAATTATGTCTAAATAATATTTTTCAAACCGAGTGAGACGGGCAAATTAACACAAAAGCATGAACATATTTTTTTTTTTCGATGGTCAACGGTGTCTAAATCAATTTATGTGCACCTTAATTAACTTTTTTTTTAGTCCGATAAAAGACAGATTATCCACGTCGAAATTAGAGGATTGAGGAACAATTTATGATTTATTCTTTTAAGTGTTTTCAGCAAAAAAAATTTACAAGCAATGTGAATAATTGAACCCAACCCATAGAAATATAAAAGCCAAAAAAATAAAAAATAAAAGAAATGGAGCTCAGGGCAAATATTAGGGGCTAGCGATGTGTCCTAATGTGAGTGGCAAGAGCAGGGTAAGCGGCTAGGACCCTCTCCCACTGCATCACAACTCTTTCTCATCCCCCTATCCCTCATCTCCCTCACCTCAGCCAAAGAAATCTTGAACGCCTCTTCCGGCGAACACCCGGTCGGAAAGCTCAGCCAAAACGGCATTAACAGTGAGCAAAACGACACTCGAACCAGCAATAACTCCGAGCACAATCCCAGTGGTGCCCAACACCTTATTGAAAGCCGGCCACTCGATCTCTCTGATCTCCTCCGCCACTCCGACCCAAAAGTCCGGCTCTTTCTGTTCTCTCTCCGCCATGGCCTTCTTGATTTGAGCACCTAGATCTGATACATCTTCACTGCTAGTATAATCGGTTGTACCATTTGTCGGCTCCCGTGGTGGTTCAGTAGGAGAGGTTTGCTGGGTAGTTATAGTTTCCCGTTCCGATTCAGAGGCGTTGCCGGTGATGGAGTTTGGGTCTTCTTGACTGGATTTGATGATGATGGCGAATTGGTTTTTTCTGCTTGTGGTTGTGATTGGGTTGTGTTTGAGAAATCCATGGAAAATGGGTGTGGGTTTGATTTGGAAGGAGATGCTTGGGGGAGTTACTTTTCTCGATGCTGGAAAGGAAAAGGAGGATGATACTGGAAATTGTGAGAAGGAAAGTGCCATTTCTGTGTGTAGCAAGGTTGGGGATGATGGTGTTCTCGAGCTTGACGATGGGTCAAAATGACGAGTAAATATCGGGTGCAACGGTTATATCTACTATCACGGTGTAACCATTCCATAAAAAAATAGAGAGTAAAATAGACCCTCTCCCTATTATGGAGGTAATTATATATAAAATAGTTGAGTAATTATGCGGTTGAGTGAAATTCGTCCATATAACACTGCTGACATAATATACGGTTCCGACTAATATTTTTTCCAAAATGACATACAACAAGAGTTGTTAGTTTCTATATTTTTATTATTATTATTAATTTTATTAGAATGATATTTCAATTAGAAATATTTTAGAGTATTTAGTTGCATAA